AAGAAGAAGGTTTTGAGTCTGTATTTGAATTCTCACAGGGTAGTTGACCCCCTGATATCCTCAGGGATAGAAATCCAGAGCTTTGGGGCGTAGCAAAAGAAGGCCCTTTCATCTGAAGAGCGTAAACAAACTTGGAAGACAAACAGGAGACCCGAATCAGATAAAGCAAGATTGCAAGATGGGGAGTAGGGAGATAATCACTCAAAGAGGTATTGAGGTGTCAAGCCATGTACAGCTTTAAAGATGAGCCCAATAATTTTTAAGTTAACATGAAACCTGATAGGAAGCCAGTGCAAGGACTCCAGGATAGGAGTAATGTGATCACTTGCATGTGACCTCAGGATTCTGGCTCCTGAGTTCTGGACATACTGAAGTTTGTTCAGTGTGAAATGTGAAACCCCAGTGAGTAGGGTGTTACAGGAACCAGTTCTAAAAATGTCAAATGTAGTAACCTCTTTTCTGCTACAGTCAGTCAGGCAATATTTCTGAGATAGAATGATGTTTTTACAATATTTTGGACATGTGGGTCAATGGTCAAACCTGGATCAAATACCAGCCTCAAATTCTTTGATTTAGAAGAGGGTAAGGAATACAGAATGTACTGAAGCTGTTCCATTATTTATGTATTCCACACTAGATACACGCACTCCAGACTTACACAGATCATACTAGTGGTCTCTCTTCCCACTATTTTCAATTGTGTGTAGACCAGGAGGAAGACTTATCTTCAGTTATACACTGCCCTGAATAGCATCATGTAAACAGATTAACAATTACAGAAAGAAAGACAAAGAAAAAAGTTATGAGCGTTCAAAATAAAAAAATAGCATTAATTATACACAGCCTGATCACTCAGAATTCTCTTATGCACATGAGCTCTAGGTCACACATTGTCATGATCCTAGGATTCCTCAGTATGGCACAGGACTGCTGCAAAATTAACAAGTGGCTTACCAACAAGCACATTTGGAAAAAATACTTTTTCATGTTTGTTTTGGCTTCGGTATTTTTTTGCTGTGAAATGTGCTTTATATGCGTTGTGTTGTAAGAGCTTTGACACAGTATCTTTTAAAGCCATCATTTAGCATGACTGATTTTAATTATTATAATCCATCCAAATGTTACTATAATTCAAACAGACATTTTCCCATGAACAGTTTTGTTTTAACATTTCCCATGAATAACACCTGGAACATACAGTATTTATAGCAGTATTAATTTTATTAGTTTATTACCATCATTAAAGATAAGTTTCCATTATTATCTTATGAGGACATTGTACTTCATAGTTTAACCATTGTCAAGCTGTTGTAATACTGAAAAAAACTTTAATTATTGATTTTGGCCTACTTTGCAATATTTCTCTCTGTGTTATCATTTCACATGTCCTTTGTAACATGTGCTTGGAGTTCTCTGAATCCCTGAATAAAATCTTTGCAATTTTTAAATCATCTATCACTGAAAAAGCTAAAACATTTTTGTTCAAATCTTTATTATTTTTCTAAGTTAAAGAAGAAATGGTAAAAATAAGTGATTTGATCAAAAATAGTCATTCTCTGTGTCTCACATTACATTAATCAAGTGCAAAACATTACACCTGCTGTAATCACTTTAGTGTTTAACAACACCACTAAAATATTTACTAAGTCTGTTACAGTACATATCCTAGTTATCAAGATAATATAATAATAATAATATAATAATAATAATAAACTTTATTTTATATAGCGCCTTTAAAGGTGGCTTCTCAAAGCGCTTTACAGGATGACAATAACAATAAATAAGAAGAATACAACAATAAATAAGAAAATTTCACAAGACAGAAATTTCATCAATAACACATTGATATTAGTGCACTTTATATCCCGAGTAGAAATCTGGTTTACATTGTGCAGAAGGGATAAAACCAATAAGTTAAATTCGTTAAATTATTATGTAGCTACCTGAAGCTAGGTACTGTGTGATCATTGTGATGTATTTTAGGCAGTGTATTCAGTACTGTTACAGCTTCTGGAAATAGTTATTGAGGTGTCTCAGGATCTAGAGACAATTGTCAAGACCTGGCTAGTGTCAACATTGGGCAATTTAGAGCTTCAAAGTAAGAAGGGAACTGAGGTGTGTGCTCAGTTGTAGGGAGGTTGAAGCACATTGATCAAAGAAATTGTAAGGTTTACTTGGTTATGTTCAGAGTACTGTAAATCATTAAGAGTCATCAACAGCCCAGGAACACAGGTTAAAAAAAGACAGGGAGAGAGAGAAGGGGGACACAGAGAGAAAGAGAACAGAGGATGGACAGCATGACACGGGCAGAGAGAAAAAGGCGTGCCTGGCGATAGGTGCTGGTTCTGAACAACCATAAAGACCAGATTTGAGTTTTCTTAGGAAGCTCTCATTTCCTTTATACAGAATATCTAAGTTAAAAATGGTCTCTCCTGGTTAGTGAATGCATTTTACAGAATAGGGAGACAGGTTTCACATTGACTTTGTGACATCTGGATTCATAAAGAGAAATTTACCTGTAGGTGATATTCAGTTCTTTGTAGAGGGCAAGTGTATCTCTCTGTTTATCCTTTTAGTATTTTGAAGACTTGGTCAGCTGTCTGGGGTTTTTCTAGATGTAGGATGTAGACTTTTGAGATGCCTTGTTTGTAACTGGTATTTTGTATGTTGTGTGCTATTTATTTTGTGTTGTGTGATTATCAATACAATTTTGTTTAATATATATTGTGTCTGACTTATTACTCTTTTCACCAAAGCTGTGCCAGAGAACTAATATGTCAAGTGCCTCTAATTAGAGTATAATCTTGACAAAATCTTTACAATTTGGGGGTTATGATCATTTATTTTAATCATTGATTTTACTGCTGGTGTTTTTGGTAATTCTCCAATTCTCTTTCTCTTATTTTCATAACCCCCTAATTGTAACAACATATTCCATGCCTTAATTTGTGTTGATTTGAATCCTTAATGCTTTGAGAAAATACATCAACCAACAAATCTGATTTTTCTTTCAAACTTTCCATTTGGATGCTTGTCTGACTTCTTAGTATCAAGCTGGAAATATAATAAGGAAAAAATGAAAGAGAAGGCTCCACACTGTGTTTCTTTTTTTCTCTTTTCAGCAGGGAATAAACCTTTACTTGTTCCTTATCAATTAAAATGTCTATTTGAAACAGGGAATATTCTGCTCGGGATATAAAGTGCACTAATTATACAGAATTATTTCTTAAGGAAAGTTCTGATAAATGTCTTTGCACCAGTGATTTGTGGACATACAGTACATCCATAACGTGTGGATTATCTCCAACAAATCACCACAAAATTGTCCCTGTAAACTCTTTCCCCAAAATATTCTGTACAGGAATGTTCTGCAGCCCTTATGGTCTGGATTGCTAATCTTCTCCACAAACTATTTATTCATGCCACTGCATAAATAGCAAAGTATCACCCTCACTCTATATGGATTCAGAAGAAATATAAATTTTTCTGACTTATGTTTATTATAT